GCACAGGGGGGTGTCAAGGCAAGGTGGGATCCGACTGAAAAGGGGGTGCGCAGAGGAGAGGCAAGCAACGGAGGAGGGGGCAAGCCACAGGGGCAAGCAACGGAGGAGGGAGCAAGCCAAGGGATGCGAGGAGATGAGGGGGCGCGAGGCGAAGAGGAGCGTGGAGGCAGAGGGTGCTAAGGCGAGGCGGGACGCGCGGAGGCGCGGGGGGCTGCCAGGAGGGGTGCGCAGAGGCGAGGGGGGCGCAAGGAGTCAAAGGGGCCCCGATGCGAGGGCGCGGGGTGCAACGGCCAGGGAGGGAGAGGGGATCTGCGGACTGGGTGGGCGGGTGCCGGCCGCCGGAGGGATGCGGTGGGGCGCGCAGCACGGCGCCGTGCCCAGCAGTGTGGGGTGGCGGGGTGGGCCGGCGGGGCGCCCGGGGCCGTCGGGGAGAGCAGAGCAGCCGCCTGCCTCCTCCGTGTCGGCTGCGTGGAGAGGGACAGCCACGGCCTGCTTAGCCTGCCTCAGCATGGAGGCACGGCTCCGGGGCGGTGGGATTTGCAGAGCGGTGACTTCCAGGGGAACGGGGAAGGGGCCTGGTGGGCGGTGGCAGCTATTCTGGACCAATATGGTGCTGTAACCCCATCTGTGCTTGTTGGTGCCGCCGTGCCCTTCGCCCTGGTCACCAGTGTAGACTGAGTCACCAGGAAATCTGATAAGGCTCTAATAAAACCACTGGAGTAGCACGGGGGGGTCGCTCGGCACCGTTGCGCCTGGGCTCAGCCACCCTGATTGCTTAGCTCTGCTACCGACTTCCTGAGCGTCACGTGCGTGTGACTGGAGCTATCAAAACCGCCGGGAGTTTTGAACTGATTTATTAGCTAAACTTCAGGGGCAAATAAGCCTTTTGGTAAAGATGCAGTCCCTGTTTCTTGGGGGAACTCGGCGTGGGGAAGGCATGGGCCCTTGAGATGTTGCAGAGCCGCTAAAACTCCAGCTTTGACGGCTACGCTTGCTGGTTGGCATCGGTTACATTCTTGTTTTAAGGCGGCATCAGCTCCCAAAGCGCTGGCGGTCGGATGCGCTTGGGGAAGGCTGCAGGGAATGTGGCCCTGCACCCTCCCGGCAGGTGGGAGGGGAGCACTGCAGCCTTGCTGCAGTGACCTGGTGGAAATCATTAACAAACGTGACCCATCAATTAAAGTGAATCACCAGCCTGAGCAGGAACCAGCTAGGTGTGTCAATTCCTGTCTTCCGCTTGGTTATGTTCTGGATAGTCAAATTAATCTGTTTTAGCAATTAAGCAAGGAATCCTGAGCGTTTCTCCTTTTGAAAGGGCGTAGCCATATCTGGGTGAGAAGCCTGATCCTAGACGATGGCAGTTGGTACGGGTTTCGGTTGAAGCAGGACTGTGTGCTGGCAGCACGAAGACAGCTAGAGGCTCGTTCAGGAGAAAACACTGGGGCTGGTTTTCTTTCAGAAACTGTTCCGAGAAGCTAAAACCGGTACAATGTTCCCATGAAATAACCGGGTCAGATTTCTCCACCTCCTCGTGCCTGGATCAGTCGGCGACCGTGGTGGGTAGGCCTGAACTGTCTCGTACCTGGCTGTTGTACATTTGCCAGGGGGGGACGCAACATCAAATTAACTTCTTGCTGCTTTGGTAGTGTACGTTCCCAGCCTGCTTGGCTGATACTGGCTGGGCAACGGCCTTTCAACCTATTGAACTTGGTCGGTGCAAATTCTTGGCAAAGTGGAAAGAGATTCCAGCTTTCTCTGAGTCGGGAGACGAAGATCTGGAGGCATCCAATTAAATTTGTGTTCCTGAGTTAATCCATCAGCACTGCAGCGCTCTGACAGTGGCACATATCCGCAACAGGGCCTTGGGGCTTGAGCTGCCTTGGGGCTTTTTTCAGTTATTTGTGTCTCCTGTGTTAGGAGCGTAGTGCAGTCGCCTCCAGCTTCTCGTGGCCCAGCCAAGATGCTCACCGTGGTTCTTGGAACTTGCACCACCCTCGCACTGGGAGGGAGCATAATTAGGATCAAGCTGCTTAGCCTGCAAAGGGGGAGCAATGCAGCCGCATGAACGGGCAGATGGAGCTTTAAAAATGTCCCATCAAGCAAATTACATAAGTTATAATACACCAGAGCTTATCCTGTTGTATCTTGGAGAGCAAAATCAGACACTGTGCATATACCTAAGTTCATAATTGTCTTCCTTGGCCCCTGGAAATACTTCATACCTCCTGCCTTCGAGCAGCCGTGCAGCTGGGCACCTTCTCTGACCCAGACCCCGGTGCTCCCCCTGCTCCTCCAGGCCATGCAAGCACACGGAGCTTCACAGCCCAGCACACGCTCATACAGCACCCAGCAAATGCCCGCAGTTGTGTGCCCACATGCATCAGGCAGAATTCAGCCCTCGTATCGAGAGAATCCTCCGCGAAGCTTTGCTATTCTGTAGCAGCTTTGATCAGAGGGTCTGAATAATTTCCAGCAGATGTTAATCATCAAAAGGTAAACATCATTTACATTGCACAGGGAGGTAAGCCCAAGTAGACACCAAAAGGGAAGCGTTTTCTGAGTTGTGCAAGGAATCCGCAGCAGATTTGCTGAGAGAAACCAGGAGTGTAGACCTTGCTGTACATACTGGCTGCAGCCCACGCTGGCTACAAGAATGTTTCTATATGTTTATAGTGCATTTCTATGTTAGACCCAGCTCTTTCTTTCTCATCCTCCGTGCATTTATTTGATAAAGATGAACTCGGCACCGCTGCCTGCCTCTCTGTTCACACCGTGCCCCTGTTCCCCCATCCCCACTTGCAACTCACAACGGCCTGAGCAAAGCGGGTGCAGGTCAGGCTTTCCCTCTCAGTCAAATTATTTTCTTTTCCTCTGGTCTGCCCCAATAAACAGCACAGGGAAGTGAAAACTAAAGGATGTGTGACTCTAAATTTTATTTCAATTTTATTTCATTTTTATTTTTTTTTATTTTTATCCCCTGCAGCCCTGTTTCACGAGGGTAGTCTCCAAGGTGGTGTTTATCCTGCAGGAGGGTCAGGTGCCGGGAGGAGAACACCTTGTTTATATTCCCCAGCCTGCCTCCAGTTCCCTTTGAGACTGCAGCAGGAAACCTCAGCTCTGACAGCCAGAGCCAGCGAGTACCCCCGCTCCTCCCTGGCTTCAGCCGCTGTTAGGTCTGTCTGTCACCAGCTCGGAAAAAAATCAAGCTCCTGTGCCCCAATTTTCTCTCCATCAGCCAGCAAAACTTACATGTCAAGGGCATCTGCAGCCTGCCTGATTTCTGTGTAGAGCTTTAGATCCCCATGAGGGCGGCATCTGAGAAAAGAAGATAAAACCCTGTTGTAAGGATGATAGCGATGGATCCCGATTATTATTTGTTTAATTAAAAGAGTCTGGACAGATACAGAGGCAACAATTAACAATTATCTTCCATAAAGAACTTTGACAACAGCCAAATAAGTTAATGGGTTATGAGATGAAGACAAATCATTACAGCTAATGGTTGGTCTGTCATTTGTGAGTCTGAAGGTGTACGGGAGAGTCCTCGCGCTCCCATGTGATGCCTGATTTAAGGGGCTTTTTGCTCCTTCTGTTCACACAGAACACGCAAGTAGCAATTTTCTTCTGTTGTGCAGCTGGGATTATCTAGGAGACATGGAATTAAGTTCTAAATGAAAATTTAAGCTATTCATTACACTTTATTAATAGACTTCGGAATGTTTAATTGTGGAAATAAATTATAGAGAGATGAATTCATAACTTTTGATGTATTTTACACCCCCACCCCGCCTTGCCGGGAGGGTGCGTTAAGATAATCAGGACTAGCAGAGGTGCCAGCCTTGCCTTCGCCCCCAGCGCCGCGGCCGGGCGTGCGGGGCAGCGGGGAGGACGAGGGAGGGGAAGGATTTTGCAAACACTGCCACCCCCTGGCTCTTCCCACAGAGTTACATTTTTTTCCCCACAAAACCTAACTTTGTGCTGCCTGGGGGAGCCGTGCACTTCGCTTCTCCAGATCGCTGGTGGGAAGGCCGAAGGCCGGCGGGCAGGGACTCGCTTTTCCGCTGGGACCTGGCCACAACCCGCTGCCTGAGGGCAGCCCGCGCCCTGGGCTGCCCCTGCGCTGGGCCGAGCCGTGCGGGAGGGCTCCGGCCGCGGCGAGCGGAGGGCCGCGGGGTGGCGGAAAGGCGCCGCGGAGCCCAAGCCCCCATCCCCGCCCTATCCGAGGGCCGCTCCGGCGCGGCCCGGGCACCTTCCGGGGCCCGTGCGTGAGGCAGCGGGGGCCCAGGCCCCGCTGCGGCCTGCAAGCTGAGGGGATCCAGGCCCAGTGAGGCCTGGCTTTAAGCAGCCTCCGGGCTTAGTGAAGGGGGAAGGAGGAAGGGGAGCCGCGGGAGGGGCGGAGGGACGTCGCCGGGGCCCGAGGCTCCCGCGGCGGGGGG